GGCCAAAAATCGCAATTTTTACTTGCGTCCACAGTATTTTTGCGTAGAATTCCTTTCTGCGTAGGCGGCCTTCGGCCGCGCTAAGGGATTATAACCCTTACTACGTAGAATTCTCCTTTCTGTGTGACCTAACTGGGGCTACCGCCCCAGTGATGTAACCTTGGGAAAGGATGAGGTAACTAGAATTCCCTTTCTGTGTGGTAAACCTGGGCCTGCCGCTACAGTGATGTCTATTTTGGTTACTGGGTGTTTTATAAAAATTTCTTGTATATAAAAATGTGTATATAAAAATGTATTGTGCAAAAGAATATTTAACATTTTTCAAGCGAATAAACGCAAATGAAAATTGTGATTTTTGACAATTTTGCTAAGAGGTCCCTAGGGAACCATAGGGGACCTAGGTGGTCGGGGGTTGCATTTTTGTCAATGGCGGTTCATTCCCTCTCCAAAAAGGTGGGTGTCACGCCCACTTACCTTTCGCCCACCGCTCCTTTAACGAACGGCCATAAAGGAAAGCCAACCCAAATTGTGCTCTCTCCTTGCAAGTTTTACTGGGTTTTAGGCTAAACGAACACGATTTGGTAACAATTGGTACCAACTTGTACAAATTTTGGGGTACGGTTTAGTACGTTGCCGATCTATTTCGAGGTATTCCGTCCAAAGGGTATCCCGATCCAAAAAAACAAATTGCACACTCTTGTAGCCAAGGGTCTAAATATTATTTTAACACCCTTTTTGTAATTTTTGGTCACTAATTTATTTACAAATTGGGTTAGAAATATGCCCTTTTTTGTCAAATTCGGAAATTAGCGTAAATTTATCGCTCCTATTCTCCTTAAAGCATCTACTTCAGCAATATATTTTTATATTCTCCTTCACTTTACACTTTACTCGATAAGTTATAACTTTCTTTATAACATTAATATTAACCAATTAATCACAATTTATTAAATAAAAACACCTTCTAAATCATGCGTCTGACTTTGGTTTCATATTCAAATTAAATGGCGTAGTTCAGCTGTCAAACTCCAAAATATGCAAAAGAATGAGAGACAAAAGAAAATAGGATATAACCCTGTAAGTATTAAAAATATACAAAGGTGGTCTCTGCAAAAGGTGTTCAGCTCCTTTTCTTCGCAAAACAGAAAGGAGAATTCTAGTGCCTAAGGGTTATAATCCCTAAGTGCGGCCGAAGGCCGCCTACGCATAAAGGTGTTCTCTGCGGAAGGTGTTCAGCCCTCCTTTTGCCAGATAACCACCTTGGGATAACTTCTTTTATTTAAAAACCCCACAGATTCTGTTAGTTGGGTTATATTCCACTTCAAACTGCTCAATTTCCCCTCGGTAAATGCTGTTTTTCGCCCATTTTCAAACAGTTCCCTAGGGGTCTGTGGGAGGCCCCGAAAGGGTGGTGCGACTTTTCGTAAAGCGGGGGCTGTCCCCTCTCGAATGGGGGGATTTAGGGGCCACGCCTTGCCCCCTCCGCCCCTACCCTAAAAACGACCTGCAAATAACTAAACATTTCCCAAATTTTGTGCATAGCGAACACTCCTATAGTTACTAAAACTATGTTCACATTACCAACATAAAATACTTAGTTTCGTTTAAAANCAAATTCGGAAATTAGCGTAAATTTATCGCTCCTATTCTCCTTAAAGCATCTACTTCAGCAATATATTTTTATATTCTCCTTCACTTTACACTTTACTCGATAAGTTATAACTTTCTTTATAACATTAATATTAACCAATTAATCACAATTTATTAAATAAAAACACCTTCTAAATCATGCGTCTGACTTTGGTTTCATATTCAAATTAAATGGCGTAGTTCAGCTGTCAAACTCCAAAATATGCAAAAGAATGAGAGACAAAAGAAAATAGGATATAACCCTGTAAGTATTAAAAATATACAAAGGTGGTCTCTGCAAAAGGTGTTCAGCTCCTTTTCTTCGCAAAACAGAAAGGAGAATTCTAGTGCCTAAGGGTTATAATCCCTAAGTGCGGCCGAAGGCCGCCTACGCATAAAGGTGTTCTCTGCGGAAGGTGTTCAGCCCTCCTTTTGCCAGATAACCACCTTGGGATAACTTCTTTTATTTAAAAACCCCACAGATTCTGTTAGTTGGGTTATATTCCACTTCAAACTGCTCAATTTCCCCTCGGTAAATGCTGTTTTTCGCCCATTTTCAAACAGTTCCCTAGGGGTCTGTGGGAGGCCCCGAAAGGGTGGTGCGACTTTTCGTAAAGCGGGGGCTGTCCCCTCTCGAATGGGGGGATTTAGGGGCCACGCCTTGCCCCCTCCGCCCCTACCCTAAAAACGACCTGCAAATAACTAAACATTTCCCAAATTTTGTGCATAGCGAACACTCCTATAGTTACTAAAACTATGTTCACATTACCAACATAAAATACTTAGTTTCGTTTAAAATACCTCACTAAATTAAGTGCGTTCATACACGCGATTCTTTATTTTTCTTGACAGCTTTGTAGCAACCCTGTGTTATTATTTATTTAACCAAAGGAGATCGCGAATGTGAGTAATTGCGTATATTTTTATATTCTGAGTTGTTTGTGGTAATTTTTTAGATTTTAGATGAGTGATCAAAAGAGAAAGCTTCTGGAAATATTTTACAAACTACCACGCGTGATTATTAAAAACAAAAACGTCCAAACACAATGACCTATCAGTTATGGGACAATACTTTTTTCGATTATTATCGATAAAATTAGAGCCTACAGATTTATTCGTGATTTGGTTCTTGGTTTAAGATAAACTACGTACTTTCAACTTAATTTACTGAGAGACTTTACAAGGCGAAATTACTTAGTTTGTACTTAATTTATGCGTAAATTAAGAGTGACCTCTAAATTACGCTAATGAAAACATAGTTTTAAGCGAAGCGCACATTAGCGCGATTCCATCGTTGCGAATACGTTGCGAATTCGGCTGTTAACTTCGAATCCGCAAACGTGCGCACACTTGAGCGATTTTTTCGCGTCGATTTCCGATGTACAATTCACTCAATTTTCCCTTTATTTCGTGTATTTTCGCACTCGGCGTGCCCAAATCGTACAAAATACTATTATTACGAACGTTTTTATTAGTTTTTGTACATTACACGTTTTTTTTTCTTTGCCTTTATTGCTGTGACACCTTTCTTCTTCTTCTTTGACGCCTTCAAAACGCTGCAAGCCGCGTTTCGAACGCGTCAATAAAGAGGAACATTGAATGTTCGAAAAATTCGCAGCGACGGAATCGTGCAAGTGTGCGCTAGCGCATTAAAATGTATGAGTAGCATTGTTGTAATTTTTGGGCTTG